CCGCCTACCTGAGCATAATATAAAGCGGTCAAACAAATACAGGGCGCCGCCTACCCAGGCATAATATCACGCGGTCCGACAGATACTGGGTGCCGCCTACCCAGACAATATAATCGCGGACGCTAACTAAATAAATAAACTATTTAATTTATTTCAGTTAGACATATAAGAACAAATAATCCAATTATCATGCATTTATAATATTCCAAACACATAGGATAAAATAACATGTATTCAAAATACATACAAGTAATCTAATTACTCATGTATGTATTCAAAATACATAAGCCAAGCAAATTCATGGATCAAAATAATGTGCTAAAATGTTCATCAAGATTTCTAAAATTTTGAATCGTTAAACAAGCTCGAAGCTTCGTTTTGTTCATTAAATATTTCAAAATATTTAAGAGTCATTTGACAATAGTTTTTAGTTTGAAATATACCCTAAGGGTTAATTTCAATTTTAGGGATTTTTCAGAAATTTGAAACAAGCAAAAATAACTATTATTTAAGATTTTTCAAAATTCTGAATTTGTGAATAGCCAAACTAGGCCTCAAGAATTTTTAGAAATTACAAACTGGCCCTAGGCAAATTTCAAGAACCACAAACAGGCCCCAAGGGCTGAATTGAAGTTTCTTTAAACTTTTTAAATCACAGATTGACCCAGGGCCAAATTGAACTAAAGTTTCTGAAATTTCAAATTAACCCCTAAAAATTATCAAATTTCCAAAGTGAGGTCCTTCAACACCAAAACGGATTTCAGCTGCCCGTCACTCGCCTATCGCGCATCTGACGCGTCGCCTGTCCTCCGACAATACCCCGCCGTCCCATGCCGGCAGCCCCTCGTCGGATTCCTCCACAGGCGGGTCAAACGCCGTAAGTTTTTTTTTTTTTTTTATAATAACAGCTGCCCAGCGGCAGCGGCTCTTGGCCGCGCGAATTCCGGCGGCCATCCCGACAACGCCTAGCGCCGGCAGCGGGAAGGGAGATGGTGAGCAATGGCGAGCAGCGGCAGGGATTCCAAAATCCCAGGCAGATTCGAACAAACCAAAACACGATTCCAAAATCAAAATAAATTTTAGTTTAAGATTTGTTTAATTGTAATTAAAACCAGGTATCGTGTACGGGAATTCCAATTCCCAGATTTTTGTGAAAACCAATTCCCAGAATTTTAAATCCCAGAAATTGTATGTGCGAACAGGAGGAGAATTCCAAATTCTTTTCTTAAGTTTAATTATAATTAAAATAATTTTAATTATAAATTAAACTAAAACAAGATATCAGGTTTTGATCCATGAACATAAATCTAATTTACATCGAATAGCCATGAACACCGACCCTGATACCACTGTTGGATTTTAGACGTACGAACCCAGCATACGCGCAGTGAGATTTTAATATTTTCTTACCAACAACGAAGATCCGGCTATAACTATTCGATATGATCCTAGATCACGTGAATGATATACGAAAACTTATAGTTATTCGTCATTTGTCTTCGAGTATGGTATCCACGCAATCCAGTGTCTCGATGCACGATCTAAGGCCAATGAATCTCTTCCGGTGAAGAAACTAGGAATCCAGTGTCTCAATCTCTAAGATGTTTAGGATCTCTCAAAGTCTCTCTTATCGATCAACGATTAATTATTATGAAGAGATAATGAGATATTTATAATCTATCATTATATTAAAAGATTAACCATTTAACACTTTTAGCAAGTTTTTCCCGCCAAATACATTTAATGTCTCCTAAAAATAGAGCAGCATTAAATGTTGCCCTTAAATCATGGCAGTTGTTAATTTAGTTTGGAGAAAATCGTGGCAACTAAAACAAACAACATTAATTACGACTGATTTAATATTTAAATGATAAACAAATATTACTTTTTTATAACTGATTAAATTTACGTATGTTTAAAAGTAAAAAACTATTTTTGTGATTTCAACAAATTTGTACTCTTTAATGTACGACTGATTTAAAATTAAGAATTTACTTTTGTATTTTCACAAAAAATCGTATAAAGAAGTATGGCTGAAATAATAATAAAAAATTAATTTGTTAAACTATATTTTGCACTCATAGATACGAATTCTCATAAAATTCAAGAATTAAAATTGTGAAAGAATGTATATAGATGTGGACTGATTGAAGATATATGATTCCTTAAATTAAGGAATTCTTTCCGGTATATAAACTTTAAATATAGATTTTATTAGTAGTGTATACCAAAGAATATTGTTACATTTAAAATTCCTATGAAGAAGAATTCTATTAATTTTTAAATTCAACATCTCATAAAAATAATATAATACACTTTTACATTCTATGAAACAATATTTAAAACCCACCGTTCAACTTGCATAAAATGTAAAATTACCTAACATGAATCATTTTAACTTTCTAAAATCAGTACACAATTTGCTCGGTATGTACTAATAGTCTGATAGTTAAGAGTTAATATTTGCTATGACATCTATTGGTTGGAAAGAATTCCATTTTGTATGGAACTCGAAATGAAAAAACATATTCTGAAAATCAAATCTGGTTTAGAGATCGATTTCTTAATGACCTTAAATTATGCAAATATCTTGTTTCAGTTTTTAGGATTCTTTTTTATGATCTCAGTTTTTGCATTATATGAAATCTATACTTATATAAAAAGTCATCCTATTTACTAGAAATAGTAGGCAGAAAAGTCAAAGGTAATTAATGCTTGCTGGAAATAGAATGATACTAATTACAAATTTGTTTTGGTATTTGTAGCTTGACATTAAAGATTTGTTATGGGATAAAAATCAGAACCGATTTTTTTACCTTTGCTGGAAAAGTCAAAGGTAAGTATAGATTTGTTTTATGCTATAACATCGGTTTAGTTAAGAAAATCCCATCAAATCAGTTTTATATGTCAAGCTTATGAATAAATATTTAATCGGTCAAAATTAAATCCTTATTTTACGTCACCCATAAATAAAGTAGATGTCAAGGCTAAATTGAAGAGTTTAGTTGTCTATATAGTCATTGATTTACGTAAACACATCTAATGTTTAAAGTTTGTGTAGATTGAAAATTCCTTCTTATCTTTTTACAAAAAATCTTATTATTATTGTATGGAAAATCAAACTCATAATGTTGTGTACAAGGTGGTCTTTAATAATATATGATTGTTTGTTTGTCGAATACTATCTTATTGTATAATTTTCCTGCGTATTATAAAATTTTTTATTGAATATTGCATCTTATAATATAGTATTCCTCAAATAAATATATCCCGTACCTCGCACGGGTCACGTACTATATATATCCCGTACATTTTTCTGTATTCATGTATATAAGTCTGGATAAATAGCCTTAAAATTGTGCACCCCGTGCATCGCACGGGCTCTGTACTAGTTAGGTCAAAACCTAATTATATGGGCCTTAGGATACCCTACAGCCCAATAGGTAATTAGACCTAATCTAATTAATATTTTAATTAAATATAAATATAATTTAACTTAATTAAATATTTTCCATCAAATAGAAAATTATCTCATTACTAATTAAGAATAAATCTAATTTAACTTAATTAAATATTTTCTATCAAATAGAAAATAATCTCATTACTCATAAATAAATATTCCAATCTAATTGAATATTTAAAACTCTCGATTCACTCTTAGTCGGAAAACTGATTGCATATTTTGTGATCCTATAGGCCTTCATATATTGACATAAATCTAATTTATGATCCTTACGAAACTCCTAGACTGCGTCGAAGGACGAACTCAAAATATGAAGTACGTTTACATGGACAAGCAAACAAACCTTTGGTGTAGAATTCAATAGTGATACGGTCCCTTCATTCACGAACCACTCGATTAAGCTTAGGACTTGAATGTGTGTTTATCCAAACAGCTTAATCATTTTATCTCATCTCCTTGGTTGATTTTAATTAATTATATTTGAACACCATTTCAAATATAATCACGTGCATTGACCAATGACTTCATCAACCCAGTATAGAGAAAACGAGTGTTCTCTCGAAACTATATTCGAGGAATGAATCCTATCTTGGCTCAACTACCAATTCTATGTATATCGTGATCTACCCAACACAAGCTCGTATCTACCCATAAGGGCGTAAGCTTTGGACTAGGTCTAAGTAAATCGCTCTATACATGAATTGCGTATTGGCCTCAAGTCAAATTATTCATAGTTGTGAGACATACTATATTCTCCAAGAATGTGATGCAGACCACTCAATCTATCGCGTATCATTAATATCCCTTTCTTAATGATCATCGATTGAGGCGATTTGAAAGTTATACTTTATCAATTAACATCTTACTCTGTTAATGACAACATTAACTCAAGGGAACAATTAATTAATAAATTACAAACAATCAAACAATTATTTAATTAATTGCAATACCATAATTATAATCTAATATAATTATTAATGTGATCGTGTATATATGTCCTAAAAAAGATTGTCTCTAGGACACATATACCAACAGATACTCCCTCTTGTTTATAATATGTGTCGTTTTGAGAAGATGCACAATAACTAAAAATATTTTTTTTTCCAGTAATAACCCTTTTTAATGAAAATTAATAACGTGAAAATTAAGAGTGGATATGAAAATGTGTAGTGTATTTATTAGCTAAATGAGGATAATAATGGAGAAATATGTATCAAAGATCCAAAACGTCATTTATTTAGTAATGGTTGATAAAATCAAATGACATTTAAAAAGAATAGGATAGAGTATAATAGATATAAATGAAAATAATATTGGTCTAAACATAAATAATTAATAATATTGTATTTTTCAAGAAAGAGGTAGCATATAAATTATATAATAATAATATAAATTGTGAAGGGACCGTAAACTGTACAAGCCTACAATCCACTAATTTAATACCTAATTAATTAATAAATTAATATATTCCTTCCAAGAAATTTACTGAGAGTTTTTTTTTTCCTCTTTTTCTTTTCCTCAGTTTCCAAAACCTGTTATGCATAGGCAAGTGCGCCTGCCTGTATGATGTATGGCCTTTTCTCAACACTGAAGAAAAATAACAAAAATCCCCCCTTTTATTGTATAAATCGGAATAAAAAAGAAACCCTTTTCCCCTAGAGAAAAAATTCGCAAAACCGAGAAAGCAGAACAAAAATTTCGATCAAATCTCACCTCAATTTGACTCCTTTTTAGCTGTAATAAATTTCAGTATTTGTCATGATATTATCTCGCTTCTGAGCTTCTTGGGTTTCAGAATTTCGGCTCACTCATGGTACTTTTACCATTTTTTTTCGGGAATGTTTCAGTAAAGTTCCTGCATTGTGAATCTGTATGCGGTGTCTGTGTTTGTGATTCTTGATTTTTTTATTTCCCGTTAAATTATTGATTTCAGGTGTCGGTTCCTTCTGTACCTGTGAATGCTTGTGTCTGTTTTTAGTCCTTTGGTGCTCTAGTATTTGGTTTTCATCTGCTATTCGATTGATGTTGTCCCATGTTTTGTCTGAAGACGTGTAATTTTCTGCAGAATAGTCGTGCGTTCAGTGAAATTTGGAGTTTTCATGTCCTTTTATTTCTGTTAGGCCCCAAGAACCGAGGTTCAAGGTTTCAAATCGAGCACAAATTCAAGCTTTAGCATTCTTTTTTTCTTTGGACTGCATGCTCTATGTGGGGTTTGAATATGGTCTCTTCAAGTGAATTTTTATGTTTGCTTTTTTTTTTTCCTTTTCTTTTTGGTGCCTTAGTATATTTTTCTTATGGTTTTCGTCGATGTCGTACGTGTTTTGTCTGAAGATGTGTGCTTTTATGCAGAATAGTTGTGCATTCAGTGAAATTAGTAGTTTTTATGTCCTTTTGTTTTCTATTAGGCCCCAACAGCTGAGGTTCAAGGTTGGAAATCGACGGAAAATTAAAGCTTAGCAAATTGATTTTGGTTTTTGTTTGTATTGCATGCTCTATATGGGGTTTGGGCACGGTTTCTTCAAGTGAAATTGACACATCTATCATGAAGGCAATCATTTGATTAGTTGTTGGTTGTTGGTTAACTCGAGTTGCAAAATTGTTTGCTTTCGTGTTCTGTCAAATATTATTATGTGTGATTTCTTAAAAATATAGATTGGCCTATCATTTGTTTCCTAATCTATTTTGCCCTTTTTCTTTTCGTAGCTGAGAAAAGTTATTTCATCCAACTCCATGGCCATCTTTTATTTCTGTTTGTTTAACAATAATAAGATTAAACTAAAACTACGATGCTTTTCTGTTAATTCAATGCCTATGTTACAGATATTTTAAGACAATAGTATAAATTTGTTTTATTGTTTACTCATTTAAAGATATTTAGGAATTTGTTTTTCATGCTTTTCATATTATCAATTAACTTATGGTGGCCAGCTTATAGTTATCACTGAACACATGTAAAAATTTGTTGATGCAGGGGACTATATGTCTGCAGTGTGGGGATAAAGGATTCAGGAATGCTTTTGTGTACTGTGTTAAATGTTTGAAACTTGCTTTACACCGGTAATAACTAATGAGCTTTCTTCTACTTATGTTATATCGTGTGGATTTTTCACAGTCACGCTCTTTTGTCCTTTACGTGGTGGCAACAAGTCATGAGGAGTATATTTTGCTTGTGGATATTTTTATTTATTTTGTATAGTATATTGTAATGAAATTTTCGGATTTGACTCATTGTTTTCTCTATTTAATTTTTTCAGCTACTGTCTGGACGAAATACCTGAGACTTTCGATGAGTTTGTTCATTGGGTTTGTGATGACTGTGAACTCGAAGCTCAACTCAACCTCACTCCGCTTAATAACCGTGACGTGGGCCCCAACTCGACAGGAGACCATATAGTTCCAGAAAGCGTGAAAGGGAATTGTGTAGTTCCTGAAAATGTTAACTTGCTCTCTGACATTAATGAAGAAGAGGAAAATGATTTATCAGCAGTTAGAAAAGAGGAGCATGACCATAAAAACGAGCCTGCTAAATCAAACAATGCTCTGGAGGACAAAAAGGGAAATGACAAAGTGAGAAGGCAAAGCCGGTGGTTACTAAAGGTCGCCTCGGAAAGTACTATAAAGTCAACGAGAAGGTCAACACGGTTGATCAAGTCCACTAAAGAAAACGACAAGAGATGCTCAAGGGAGAAGAAAAGAAAGAGGGATAGTAAATTGCCTTCTAAAGAGGAAGGCGAAAAGGGCTCTGAGAAAATAGTAAAAAAAAGACGCACTTCCTCGGGAAATTCGAAGACAAAAACTACTATCCCGTCCGATTATGGCCTGTGGGCAAATAGGATTTCTGATTTTTTGAGTGGTGTCGACATTTTTCGTTCTGTGCCATGGTTCTTTGCTTGAGCTGACTCAGTTAGACAGAAACCCGAGGAGTTTTCTGATCTGCATTTTGTTGTTCAATCTGTTTGTTTAGGAGAGTTTTGGGTCAGTAGCATTTGGAAGAACATTTTTCATCATTTTAAGCTTCACATGCATGGTTTTGTTGATTCTATAGAGCTTAGGTGCTATAAAAATGTGAAAGGTTCAGGTTTTTGAATCCCTGGGTTTTGTTCTTCTCTTCTTGTCCTTGGCTCTTTTGGGATTTAAACTCTGTACTTGTTTTAGGCTTTGACTTTGTCAATATTGTTAACCGTTGCAGAAAAAAAAAAAAAGAATCCCTGGGTTTTCCTTAATTCTATTTAATTCTTTAAATATAAAGGCCCAAATATTTTCAGGTCACTTAATCTTACTCTCATCTTTGTATTCTTGATTGATATTCGTATTAAGGATGGATAAAATGAGCAAGTTGAGGACTTGATGTTCGAAAGATTTACATATGCAAACTCATTGATCTGTGTTATTTGTAAAATATGACTCAGCAAGTGTGTGCGAGTGTTTCTGAATCTGTCTGTGGATGTGATTTTGTAATTTTTATGTTTGTCTTTTCTCTGAAGTCTGAACCTTGTAATGAAAATTCTGATCAGTATGTGTGAAGCTTGGAGATTAGGCCAAAAAAAAAAAAAAATGTGGGATTTCATTCCTTTGGACAGTATAAGCTGATTTGACATTTTGATGGTGATATTTATATTGCTTTATATACTTTCAGTCTTGATGAATGAACATGTGTTTGTGGGGTCCGTTTGGATTTATCTCTTTTTAGATTCATTATTTCCAATATTGTTAGTTTTTTTTTAGAAAAAAAAAAAGTTCGTGGTTTTTATTCCAAGAAATCTCGAATTGGCGAAATTTCAAACAAGGATAAGATGTTGAAAAACAAAGGAAAAAGAAGCCTTATATGGTAGGCTAATGGAGTAAAATTTGGTTTCTAAATCATGATAATTATATCAAACACAGTCTTAGATTGCACGTACATCACTAGCTGTAGGTGTTGAATTTTGTAGAAATAATTTCTCTATAAAATATAAATACTTATGTAGTGGTAGAGCTGATATACGAAAGAGGAACTCGGCTCGGCTCAGCTCATTTAACATTCGGTTAGTTAACAAGTTGAACTCGTCTTGGTTAGATAAGGTTTGAAAATATATTTTTTTTAAAAAAATTATGTAATTGAGTTTGTTAAGGTTCGACTTGATTGGTCGTCTAGCTTAACTCGACTTATTTACAGTCTTATGTGATGGGCATTTGAGATATGGTTAGGCATGAGAAAATTTGACAAAATGTTGATTTTTTTTTTTTAACAATTAAATTATTAGATGTCAATCATCTAATTCAAGAAACGAGACATTTAGACAATATTAGCATAATCCAATAATGTTACACACAGTTGTTCATCATCGTTCAGCAATATTGACATTGTCCAATAAACATTGTTATTACTCACTGTGTCATATCACCACATTTCAAGGTCTCGTAATATTTTATTGTTAACTTACGTACAATGGCACACTACAATGTTTCAATATCTTATAATATATAAACAACTTAACATCCTGAATGGTAGCTAATATCATGTAAAATCAAATAGTGGACATATTAATTTGTGTACATTGTTAGAAAGTGAACATGAAATAATGGACATATAAATCTATGTACATTGACATCAGTTCGTGAATATATTAATTGTTGTTCAACGTAGATAGGACAACATGAATAACGGTATATGAGTAGGTTCCTTTCAGAATTTGTGACCAAACATATCATAATATATTGATAATTTCAAATATGTTTATGTGAAATAAAAATGTAAATGTCTCACAACCTAGGGTGTATATATATAATTGCTAGCAAAACGATAAATAAAATTATTTCGTTTTTCGTCTTTTTCCGTTACAATCTTATATTTTTTGTTTTTTTTTGTTATTTTATGAAAAATACGTAACGTTACTAATCAATGACAACATACTATATTTTTTTAAAATAAAAAATATATACGGTCGTATACAATGGCAGCATACCATATTCTTTTTTACTTATTATTTTATAAAAAATCAGTAATGATAGTGCACAATGGCATCATACTATATATCTTCTNAATCAGTTTGTAACATAATTTCACGACTATTTCAGATACAATTTTATGCTAATTAAAATTGAACCATAGAACCATTGCTAATCTACGATACAAATTGTTATTACTAATAAGTTGAACTAAATCAATTTCAATTTTTTTTTTTACCTTTTTACCCCATAAAATTCTATACACCATTACTATAATAATAATTTCTATATTGTTTTAACTAATTAATTGGTCATAATTGTAAAATTTACATTATTGCAATCAATATAAAAATTCATATGTAAGTTAAATAGTTTATATCTATATCATTCATTTGTACTAATATAAAATTTACAAAATGTGATATACTCATTATCTAACTAATGATTTCAGATATTACATATACACATATATTTAAATGCTAATGGATACACTCAAAGGATCGAACACTAGTGAATATTTAAATGCTAGATACACTCTCCGATGTTGTTCTTGTTTGCATTTTTTTATTCTACTTATTTATCGTTTTACATTATTTTTTCTTTTTATATAATATGAAAAATCTAAAAAAGTAGAAGAGATTAATTAAAGTACAATATTTTTTCTTTTTATATAATATGAAAAATCTAAAAAAGTAGAAGAGATTAATTAAAGTACAAGAGATAGAAAAAAATAAAATGTCAAAGATAATGAATAAATATTAGACAAAGTATGTGATATAATAAATATAAATGAAAATAATATAGTCTAAACATAAAGAGTTACCTTAATAATATTGTAGTAGCAGATAAATTATATAATAATAATATTAATTGTGAAAGAAAGCTGATGGACTGTACAAGTCCACAATCCACTAATTTAATACCTAATTAATTAATTAATTAAATAAATTAAATTAATATATTCTTTCTAAGAA